TGTGAGACTATGAAGCATGGAAAGGAAGAATGACTAAACTGGTTTTGGCTCTCCATGTACCTTCTGAGCACAATTCCTCCTATTTCAAATGACTTAGAAAAAACATTTTTTGCTGCATGGATTTCCATTATTAAATGTTACCTAAAATTATTTCAGGAATAAAAACTCCTAGTAGCCACTGGATTTAACAAAAGAAAAAGACTTTTAAAAATAAATGTTCTTATTCTCTGATTATAAAACTCACACACATTTTAATTGTTGTAGTTTTATAATAATTGGAACAAATTTATTTTATAATTACTCTTTTCCAAAGGGTTCTTAGAGATTGAATCAAGTGACTTTTGTCATGTATGTCTGTCTCCCTTTGATGAGAACTATCTCTCTTTACCCACTCAATATGGTAAGCCCCCCAAACAGGCATGCTTGTGCTCTGTGAGCCTGTCTTATGCTAAATACAGTTGATTAGACCAGGAGTTAGAGTCTCTCTACCAGGATTCTATAATTTGGACTAAAATTAATTAATCAATCTGTATGGTTAATGTGAGGATAAATCTATATTGGAACCCTTTTGGTTGATAGTAACAGAAATGGAAATTTGAATGTGCTTAAACTACAAGTAATTTATTGTCTCATTAACTTAGAAGTCCAAAAGAATGTTGTTTACTGCATGGCTGGATATAGGTACTCAAACGACACTTTCAGAACTGAGTCTCTCTATTTCTGAGTTGATTTTTTGGGGGGATTGTCCTCATTCTCAGGCAGCCTCTTTTATAGCAGAGGAAGTTACCCATCAGTAGCTTCACACTTATATTCTACCATCTTAGCACCCCCAAAAGGAAGAAAAATTATTCACTGGTTCTAAAAAAATTCTCAGGAAATATTTTTATTGGCCTACTTTGGATTGTGGGTCCATGAACCAATAGCAAAGGTTAGGGCATTTCAATATTCTGAGTACCCAGACCCAAGTCAAAAATCTCACGCTGAGATGAGTCGTGCCTGAAAATCATAGACTGAAAATGGAAAAGGGGTGGTTCTTTAAAGGAAAATCAAGGTGCTTTATCTCATCACAGGGTCATACATTAAAAAAGAGGTTATCATCTTTTAAAAGAGGTTATCATCAATTAATTGGTTAATTGATCTGTGGATTGGCCATCTAAGGCCAGTCTTAGATTAGTCAGTTCTTGGATAGAAACTATGTAAACAAAAAGTTGTTAACAGAACAGACTGACTGGGTGGCTATATATAGAGGCAGGCTTTTTGTGATCTAAATGGCTGGCTGTATTGCTTTTTCATTCTGACTGAAGTTTGTGCAATTAATCATTAGGTTTTTTTTATAGCTTGGATTATGTTTAGAGGTAATGACTAAGGTGTTTGGGCCAATCAAATGATGATAATAGAGCATACCCAGGATTCCTCCCTAGTCTACCTGAATATTCAGTTTATCAAATTCCTGGGGTAAGTTCACGTATCAGGAATAAGCCTGCTTATTCAATATAGCATGGTAGCATGTTGACCTAGTGTGTCTTGTTGATTTGTTTGTTTGCTGCTATTGTGTGAATATTTTTGTCCCACAAAATTCCTATGTTAAAATTCTAATGCCCAATGTAATGATATTAGGCAGTAGAGCGTTTGGGAGGTGATTAGGTCATGAGAATGGAGCTCTCATGAATAAGATTAGTGCCCTTAGAAGGAGACCCAAGAGAGCTCCTTAGCTCCTTCCACCATGTGAGGACACAACAAGAAGTTGGCAGTCTATAACCCAGAAGAGGACCTTCACCAGAATCCAACCATGCTGGTCCCCTGATTTTAGACTTCAGCCTTCAGAACTGTGAGAAATAAGTTTTTTTGTTTATAAGATGTCCAGTCTGTGGTATTTTGTTATAGTAGCCTGAATAGACTAGACACTTATTTACTTATATTTGAAGAAAATGAAATTATACAGACCTGGTACTTTCCAAAAGGAAGGCAGAATGTGTGGTGTGCCTCTAGTCACATTCACTGTCCAAAGAAACAGATATAATGAGTTTTTTGTTTCTATAAAATAAAACTCTTTATTTGAAATAATTTAGAATAAATACATTTTCCCTCTTCGACAATTATAAAAATTCAATTTAATCCAATCCGGGTCAAGCCTCATCTCCTTTATAAATTCTTCTTTAATTACTATACCTATATCAATTTCATTCCACTTTCTTTTTCTACTATCTTCTTTAAGTCCAATAATAATAATGTGTTATTCATTGAGGAATTACTATGTGCCAGGCACCGTGAAAAATGTTTTCCATAGATTATTTCATTTAATTCACTCAACAAGATAGTTTAGTGAAGATGATGCTTGTTTTGTAGAAGCACAGAGGCTAAGAAACTTTGTCCAATGTCATATAATTAGTAATCAAGCATGACTGAATGCAGACAGTTTGATTCTCAAGCCCATATTTTACTACTAAATCTCTCACAGCACTTATAGTCTGTATTACCTATCTATAGCACAGTACCTGGCACAATGTTAACACTCAATAAATAATCATCATTGTTATCATCACATCATAATGGTAGGTTTTTATAAAGCTGTCCTGTATTTTCTTCTCCCCACAGCCCCCACAACTTGTGAGGCAGGCGTAACTTTTAATGTGTTATTAAATTTAATCTATCAATTAGAAACATATTGAATATTACTCTTTCTATAGAAGGACTAATAAACATTTTTTTTTAAATTCGAGAAGCAGAGGTCTTAAGAAGTTATGAAACTTCATAAGTTTCATAAATGTACCAATGATTTTAACTCTTGGCTATTTTTTAAAGTGATGTCAGGTAAAAAAATATAGAATGGACTTTCTGGAGCACATTCTCAGATACTCATAAGATTTATTTTAATTTAATTTAATTTTATTTCCAGCTTTATTGAGATTATAATTTATATATAACATTATGTAAATTTAAAGTGTACAATATAATGATTTGATACATGTATATATGGTAAAATGAGATTAATTTTATTTTTATCATAACATTTCCAGCTATTTTTAACACTGACTCATGAAATAACAAGTGTTATTTTATAATTTAGGATAGAACTAAGAATAAAATTGAAGTGTATTAGAAGAATATTGACTATATTTAATGCATTAGAAAAATCTTTCAAGGTTTGTTTTGAAAATACACCTCACCCTCATCTGGACCTCTTGTACCTGGAAAAAGGTCTCAATTCACAGAGAATACAATTATGGCAATTGAAGATTTTACAACTAAGGTATCTGGGGTCCTGTTTAATATGTGTGGTAGACAAAATTCTAAAATTCCTCCCCCCTCGCACAATTTCCCACTCTGATATGATGAGTTATCAAGACCTGATTAGTTACAATATTTGGCAAAGAGTATTTTGTAGATGTCATGAAGGTTAATATTTGATTGACTCCGAGTTAATCAAAAGGAGATTATCTGGGTGGGCTGAATCAATCACATGAGTCCTTTAAAAGGGAGAGCTTTCTTGGGTTGGTGGCAGAAGTCAGAGAGATTTGAGGCGCAAGGATTCAATATATTATATTGGCTCGAAGGTGGAGGGGGCCACTTACAAGGACCGTAAAGCAACTTCAAATTTCTGAGACAGACCAACCGCTGATGACAATCACAAGGAACTGAATTTTGCCAATAATCTGACTAGACTTGAGAAGCAGATTCTTCTCAGAGCCTCCAGATAAGATCCCTGCCCTACCCTGATTTCTGGTTTGTGAGATCCTAATCAGAAAATCCAGTCAAGCCCACCCAGACTTCTAATCTACCCAACTGTGAGATAGTGAACATATTTTAAGCTGCTCAATTTGAGGTAATTTGTTACACAGCAATATAAACCTAATGCAGACTTTTTTTAATTGGTTGACCCAAATGAAATTGTCAAAATTCACTTTTTTGATCTACAAAAATAATTTCAGTTGGTTCGGCCTAATATGATTTGGATGTGTGCAATCTAATACCATTTGGCCAATGGGTTCTTATAGACTTGACATTTTAGGAAGTCAATAAAAATGTTCACAGACTTTACTCCCCAAAATGCATAAGGCAAAAAAAAAAAAAAAAAGTATGTGTGTTGACTTTGTCATCAGTCCTACTCTAGAGAAAATGTTTCCTAGCTCTAATCATGTTGTTTCTAACTGCTGCTGTTACCAGTTATGAGCCTATATATTATGGCTTGTGTCTGTTCTAAAATGTGACCTTAAAGAGTTTGAGGTCAAAAATCATACTTTTATTTCCAGCACAATTTTTTTTAATGTAACATTGTCTTAAAAAATGAACATTGCAATGTTCCAGTTTATAGTCAAGGCCCTTTAAAATGCAAACAGTTAATGATTCAATTATGCAGAGTGACATGGGGGATTTTGTTTTGGCATGGCCCCTGGGGAGAAAAGATGTTTTACAGTTTAGATGATAGATTGAGACTTTTAAACTTTTTATATGCAAAGTAAAAGAGCAGTTGAGGAAAGTAAGTTCCCATGTGCAGAAATAGGACTCTTACTGCTGATGACTGAGCTGAAAATTCAATAAGCCATCCTTTCAAAACAGCTCATGAAAGCATTTGAGAACAAAAAAGGACAGAGGAATCTTCATTGACATAAAGAATCCAGCAATCCTGTTTTCTTCAAATAACTTGAAAAGCATGTTTTTTTCTCTATCTTTTACATATGTGGACGAAAAGATACAAAAGGTGAACTCGCTACAAGCAGGTGCAATGTTATGACTCCACGAAAGGGTTTTGAGACAGAGTAAAGACAAAACAGCTCCTCCTAGTTGTCAGTGAGGGTGTGGCATTTATTATCAAATCAGGAAACGTGTTTCTGGTGAAACCTAACTCTAAGATGATATAAAGAAATTAGTCATATATCTGGACCATTGTTGCTTCAAGGGCTGTAAATCAATGTTGCTCCATCCATCCAGACAACAAGAAGCTGTGGTTAGTTTATAAATTATGACCAGTTCACTAGAATCTCTCTACTTGGCAAATACTCAGGACCATGCTTCCAAATTGTTACTGTTCTTTGGGCAGCCCTTGTTCGTGAGTTTCCTCTTATAAATTTAGAATCCGCCAAATAATTTTACCAAAAAATGTTTGATCATTTGCAGTACTGTTTAAGGAGTAACACACAGAAACTATTTTCAAAACTAGCAAAAGAATATAGTAATAGGATAAGATACCCCATATTTGAAAGAATCTCTTTTTAATCTCATTAGAAAATAGACATGGTTTTTAACATCTTAGTTTGTGAAATTTAATTTCAAATGGTCCCCTTCTTTCCTAACCCATTGTGAATGTTCCTGATTCTTTTCTAATAATGTAAGCAGAAGCAGGCCAGGTAGTTTTAATATATTCTATTAACTAATAAAAAAGGAAAAAACTTTGAAAGCGTTGACATTATTACATGTTTCAGTAGGTCTTGTAGAATATTAGAATTGAAAGAGAACTTGGAAGTCAGCCAATACAATATAAGTATAAATGAGTATTCTTCAAGTACCAACACCAAGTGATTATACAGCCTTTGACTATGGCAGCCCATTTGAGTCTTACCACTAGAAAGTCATCTTTATGTTGAAACAAAATATACTTTCCTATAATTTCTATCTATTATCATGGAAGTTAAATTGTACTTAAGATTGTAGCTATTTTATTCTTATCTTGCTAGTTATTGTTTAATTATAGGTCTTTATCTAGTCACTATGAAAATTCTGCTAACATATTCATTCTATCAAACTACATTCTACATTGTACATTGATATATATTTCCATAGAAGCAATTCCCACAAATAGGATTTTAATTTCCAAATAGTATAGTCTTAAATATTATCTCAGAAACCTTTTCATTCTTTAAATCCATTCAAAGTTATTTCTAAAGTTTCTTCTAAAACATTCATATGAACTCAGATTGTGAAAACGAGTTATAGCTCCTTTGAAGTCAAGTGTTTTTTTTTTAAATTCCTCCAAACAGAAGTGTTAAAACTAAAATGTGAAGCAATAGTAATACTAATACAGTTAATATTGAAGATAAATGTTAAACACATTTTCTTTGCAAAGAGCATCTGTGAACGTAGAACCAAGAGTGGTTTCATTATAGACAAATCTTGAAATGTTATATTAAATTGCTTTATATCTCGGCAATTTTCTAAGATTTCAAAAAATTCACAAAAGTTTACTTCTAGAGGACTTAGCTAGTAATGACTATGATTATAAATTTAGAAAGGGAAGATCTTTACCCTGTTCCTGATGATTTTCCATAAGCACAGTTCTGATAACTCTTTGATGTTTTTCTCATTTTGTCTTTCCTTGGAGAAGGGAAGTGACTTATTGAATTTGTAGATTTGGGAAGAATAACCAGACAAGCCTGCTCATCTCTGCAATCCTCTTCTCCCCTAGTTATGACCTCTGTTCGTTGAGATCTTTATTGCTTCTCTGATCCTCCATGCAGTTGGCCTTGCGGGGGCAGTCACATGCCCTATGTGGGTCACTCTCATCCAGTGGCCCTGCAAACTGGCAGATGAGACTCCCTGAGACAGTTAGCAAAACTACCCTGCTCTCTGCTGAATGAATCACTTTCTTCATCTTAGCCCCCAACAGTCATCTATTTAGAACTCAGGCAGGGAAGAGCTGGCTGTTTTATCATCTATCTGTACTTCTCACCTCTAGGGACCCTAAAAGTGGGAAATCATGAAGCAGAGTAACAAAATCATTTGATTACTAAAACAGAGGGGAGAAACAAAATTTTTATTCTTGCTAGAAGTAAAACTTTAGCTCTTTACTTTTTCTCTTAGGAACAAAAGCAAGTTTAGAATACAAACCCATATTCCTTGCTAAGATATACATTCCAATATTCTGGGTATATGCAAAATATGCACATGAATACTTAGCAAGTGTAAATGTGTCATTATTTTATATTCAGATATTTTTGAAAGTGAAGTTAAATTGTAATTGACAAGAGCTGTTTTATAATCATGTACATTTTCAGCCCCAGGAGTAAGAAACAAACTAATTCAATACCCTTGTCTTACAAATAAGGAAACTGAGGCACAGAGTTTTTTTTTCAAGCATAGCACACAGATATGTGCTAGCAAAGAAGGAACTTGAATGCCAATTATATAAAAAATACTAACTGATAAAAACAAAAAGCCATAAATGCCACTCTATAGACCACTCGTATGCATCTTTACGATATATTAACGATGTAGGCAGATATAATTTTATCCAGTTTTTACAAAAGAGAGTGATTAAGTTATAAAAATAAGTACTTTTCCTACAATCATAAGGCAAATAAAGAATGAAATTAAACCTAATTTCTATCAGTGCTTCTTATACCAGATTACGCATATTTAGCACTTGATAGTAATCATACATTGAGATATAAAATGTTGGGTTAATTTTCAACGCAAAAGCATGTTCCTCTTAGAATAACAAGGAATCTTAGATTAGACTGTCCTACTACAGATTATTAATCATTTTCCTGGGTAGCTAAAAATGAAAATTGCTAAAGCAAGAATTATATAAATTATATATAACGATGAGCTTTCTGAGACAGTTCTTTTTTGTTGTCAATATTAATGATAGTTTATAACTCAAATTTTAGGCAGTGTGCAGCAAGGTCTCCCATCTCACCCAAACCAAGCAAGCTTGCCATAGCATCCTTGTCTTTGTCGTGAACAATAAATAGTGTGCTCATTTTCACTCAAGTTGTTTTATGCACTGTGAGGTCATTTGAACCTTATGGTCTTCTTTCACATCAGCGATTCTGACAGGAGAGTTTTCTTTGGATTTTGCTGCTTTAGCAAAAGTTCAATATTGAAACAATAGATGAGAGAGCATAAAAATAAATCATGAAGGCTGATATCTCATTTGGAAGAATGGCAAAAAAAAAAAAAAGAATACAGCATCACAAATAAAAACAGGTTGAGGGTCTAAAATCAGTGCTTGAATAAACCTTTTGATGTAGCTATGAGAACTGACTTACCCCAGAAACTGTCACCTCTGGCTTATAGAAGCTTCATCATCAAACCTCCCAACAGGTATTGACTGAGCATTTGTAAATATTTTCTGATTGTAAGAGACTGATTGTAAATATTTTCAATTTTGTGGTCCATTTGGTCTTTGTCACTATATAACTCTGCCATATTCCTGGCAGCCTAGATAATATGTAAAAAAATGAACATGGTAGTATTTTAATAAAATTAAATTTAAGTTTTATATAAGTTTCTCATGTTATAAAGTATTATTTATTTTATATTTTTCAACCTTTTAAAAATCTAAAAACCATCCTTAGTTCAAAAACTGCATCAGAACAAAAGGTGGGTTATATATTTGGGCCCTAGGTTTGCTGACTTCTAGGTTTAAGCTAGGTGTCCTAAAAAATAGAGGAATTTGGAATTACTGTATTAAGTGGCACATGTCCCTTGTTTTTAGTGTTCATTTAATTTTCTTTAATGCAATATATAATATATGATATGAATTTTAATATTTTTAATAGACACATATCAGATCATCAGCGCATTCTGGAAAAAATCACTACTCCCTTCTGATTTCTGACCTTGTGTCTACAATCCTCTCATTGCTCAAATGTCCCATTGGTCAGAACACATCGAGGTATCTGGGGACTAGCAACGACACTTTTATTTCCTTCCCAAGGAGCCTAAATAGTTCTTGTTTGCCAAACACTGCTTATATGGGGTTTGGGTAGTAAATTTTCTCACTTGTCCTGGCTTCTCATTATCCTTCCAACATGGAAAGTTACTGAAAGAGAGGGAGCTACAACATCTGTCTCCGGTGCTAGAATACTTAAGAATATTCAGTTGAAATCAAGTGTCTTGATAGTTCTTTTATTCTGATTATTTTGCTTTTTAAATTATTTTATTTTATTTTTATTAAAGGTAAATAGTACTACAAGGTTCATAATGAAAAAAGGTTGTTCTTACCCCGTTCCTTCCCATCTGTCTTTCCACCATCACCTAGCACACTCCTTAAACACATTTTCTTCCTTCCTCTGGTCTTCTCAATTCCACCATAGTTTTAGTAAAAATCAATATTTAGAGTTTCTGCTACCCTACTTTTTAATTTCTAAGAGTCATTTCTTATTCTCTGAATGCCCATACATATACAGATTAGTACTTTTTTCTTTTTTTCTCTTTTTTTTTCCTAATACAATATTTTCTCTGCTGTCATTGTTTTGGGGTTTTATTTTTGCTTTTCATTTTCTTTTATTTCTTTCATTGTCTTTGATTCCGATTTAACTGTTTTGCCATATGTCCATTTTGATCTTCATGTTAGAGGCTTTACTCAAATATTTAGTGACCTTTGGCTACCTATTCAGATTTAGAATCAAGGCTCTAAGATCTGATTGGAAGCTGTGCGTGTGCTGGAGCATATTAACTGGCATCACGGTAGGAGATTGGATTGGGGTCCAGCTATTTTATTTTATCTACAGATTATTATCTCCAAAGAGAGAGTCCACAGAGAAATTTTCTAAATTGCCACATGGAAGGTTTAAACACGTAATTTTCACTCTATCTTCCTGTTTTCAACATGGTGCTTCACCTCTACCATCCTTTCTGCCACTGGTTCAATTCACCCAGACAGTAAAATTCCTGGTTCCTGTGCCTGGATGAGGTGAGGGATAAGTGGGTCAGTCTTTGGCTTGGTGGAGCAAGGGACGGATTAAAGAGGGTGTCTTATTGCTCCTTATACAGAAACTTTTAAACCCTTCTCAGTCTCACTTTTCTCCTCCACCTTCACAGGTACCTTGTGCCTCTGAGGATTGAGCTTCTCAAGGTTTCTTGAACGTAAACAACCTTGCTTCTTATTGGCTTATTCTGTGACCTCAGCTATCAATTCTCTCTCTATTTTTCTTCTTCCAAAAATTTGTTGATATCTCTCATCTGTTGTCTTTATTCTTTCTTATTCTCTTTATTCTTGTGTTCTTTATTGTTTTTTCTCTGAACTATCATAGTGGTCCGGTAGTTCATATTAGTGGTTTCAGGAGGGTATAGAGAAAATGCACGTGCTCTATGACATTTTAGTAATATGCATTTTCAATGTTGCCAAAACGCCTTTTGAAAAAAATGCACCAATTTTTACCTCTAAAATCTGTGCACATATATATCTTTTTTCCAACTGACACACTTGCCAATACTGTATAAATTAAACTTTTTCATCCCTGCCAATTTGTTACTAAATTTTCTATTTCATGAGAGTAAGACCTATGTCTTGCTTGTCTTTCTTTCCTACACACAATGTGTGGCACAAAAACATCTGCAGGAAAGAGAATGAGCCAAAAAGTCAAGCATCCCAACTTTTCAACTGACTAGGAGTTTGTCTTTAGGCATGTTATGTTGTGCTTCTAAAGCTCTTTATATTAATCTGAATTTATCGCTAACACTCTTTTTAGAATTAATACCATAGGTGCTTGTATTAGACTGCTAAGGCTGTCTAAGCACAACAAAACTGGGTGCTTAAATAATAGATATTTATTGTCTTATGGTTCTAGAGGATAGAAAAGTCTGAGATAAAAGTGTCAGCAGGATCAAATTTTTTCTGAAGGATTGTAAAGGTAAAATTTAAACATTTAGGGAAACAGTCAAAGAAACACTACAGAGAAAATATGCTCTTGTTTTTAATTTTTCAAAAATTCTCTAATCATACCTCCGTCTAAACCATCTATTATGATTTGGGAACAAACAGAATTAGTAAAAACTTTAACCAATTTAATTAGTCCATAATTAAATCCCAACTTTGAAAAAGAACAATTAAAAGACAAAGATTTCATGAGTAAAGGAAAATACCTTCTAATTTGATATTTGTTGTGCCTAAATTGAGAATCTTAGTTCTTCAGAAGTTTACAAAATATCAGAACAAGCTTGATGTTCTAATTATAATTCCATGCTGTATTCATTTTTTGCTGCTCTTCTACACTGAAATGGGTTTACAATTTACGGCTTTAAATAGTTGTATTATTTTGTTTCAAAATTTAATTGGGCAAAGAGAATGGGAAGATTAATTGAATGTGTAAACTGGTAAAATACCAGAAATTTTTCAAGATTTTGTATAAATTGATGAAAATGTGAGCACTTTGCTGTAAAAAGAGGAAAAAGTATCAAGCATGTTTAAGATAAGATGTAAAGAAATTAGTGATCACACATAGCTAATAATTACTTTTAATTTCTAAATTAACCTCAAAATAAATGGATTCTACAGCTTTCAAACAATGAGTAAAGTAAGTTGAAAAATTAACAGAACAGTATGAGAGGTTTCAAAGCATTTCAGAAATAGTTGTGTTTCTGATATCACACTGTGTTCTATGATTGAAGACATGCCAACTTTTTTGCTGGTTTTTGATGGAAAGTCTCTGAGGTGCAAATAATTACCAATGCATCAGATCTGTTCAAGAAATTTTTAAATAAAAACCCAAAAAGATGGGCTTCCGAAAAAAAAATAATTTTTTTTTCCACATAATGAGTTTATCTTCACTAAATTTTAGCAAGATCTG